GCGCTGAGCGACAGCGGACACGTGTCTCCTGAGGCAGCGCCGCCTCGGTAAGTCCCCCCTTTCCCAAGGGAATACCCCTTTACTCCACGGCATGGCCCTGAAACTGAGGAGTTTCACACTTCTGCTGTCTCAGAAGGAAGGTTTTTCCTGGAGTAACTTTCCGTGGCATTTTATGGAGAAATTAAATCTCAGCCGTGAGTGGCAACTCGGGTGGCTGGGGATGGAGTTTGTACCTGGGGTTTCTGTGCGTACCGAAAGGCAGGAAGCTGTTGTAATAAGGACGTTAACTGAAGCACGGGGAGATCTTTGGAGGCCCTCCCTTTTGGGGGGGTTTAGAAAGTCCATCACTGAATTTGGCAGACATTGCCCTAGTAAAGGTGAAAGTGCTGGAATGTTTCTGTAGCTCCTGCTGTTAGGAAAGGCCGGAGTCTTCTGAAGGAACCTGGTGTCGATCCCCCCCAGTGTGATCATTAAAAATGATAATGGCAGAAAATCATTAAGCATTTTTTGGATGTGCCCTTTAGAGCCCAACTTGCTTTATTCTTAACCAGGTGTCTGATGTGATTGGTGTTGGAGAGTCAGGAATTCTCTTAAGAGTTACCTTTTCCTATCAAGTTATGCCTAGGAAGTAAACGAAAAGTCTTTCTTTCTGGGAAGCTTTTTGGGAAGCATTTTGTGTTAAGGTACAGCATGTGAATTGAGCATCCCATCTGCTGGTGTGGTAGAAGAATTAACATAGTTCCTTTTGGTTTGCTGTTGCAGGAAGAGGCCTCGGGAAGATGCAGACATAGAAATGGAGGTAGATGACAGCAGGAAGGACATGACTGCTGCCTGCACCCCTCGAAGAAGAATTATCAACCTGACCAGTGTGTTGACTCTCCAGGAGGAAATCAGTAGCCAGGCACATGCAAGTAAGCAAAGCTTCTGCTGCTCAAGATTAGTGTTGTTTCACCACCTAAGTATGTCTGAACTGCTGAGGAAGAAGGTGTTTAAGAGGTGGGCCTGTCAGCTCCACTGTGCTGCTGAGTGAGCTTGTAACTGAAATGTGTCTTAACCACCAAGGGCCAGGGTGTGAAGAGGTTGTGTCCGGCCTAGAGAAGAGAAGGCTTCTTAAGGGGAGACCTTAGAGCAGCTCCAGTGCCTAAAGGGGCTCCAGGAAACCTGGAGAGGGGCTTTGGTCAAGGGCCTGTAGGGACAGGACAAGGGAATGGCTTGAACCTGCCAGAGGGGAGATTGAGATGAGCTCTTGGGCAGAAGCTCTTCCCTGTGAGGGTGCTGAGGCGCTGGCACAGGGTGCCCAGAGAAGCTGTGGCTGCCCCATCCCTGGCAGTGTTCAAGGGCAGGTTGGACACAGGGGCTTGGAGCAACCTGCTCTCCTGTGGCTGGAAATGAATTCTAAAAGGCTGAGGCTTATTTAATGTTTAATTTGCACTGAGGGCTAACTGTTGTGTTACATCCTAAATGAAAACTATGTGTGTTCATGCACACAAATGAGTAACACTTCAAAATGTGGGTAATTGGTAGGACGGGCCAGTAAGAAGCAGCAGTGACTGAATAGTCATCTGAGACTTTAATGCCAAACCCCACAAACCACTCAGCTAAATAAACTAGGGCAGGGTTGCAAATATGAAATTATACCCTGTTGTTTCTTCCTCCCCTCCATTCTTTCAGGTCTCCAGGAGATGCTCAGGGACCACTCTTTCGTGGGCTGTGTCAGTCCTCAGTGGGCACTGGCCCAGTATCAGACAAAACTGTACCTTCTCAATACAACAAAACTCAGGTAAAGCACATGCTAGACTTGTCAGTTGAAGTAAATACC